ACACACACACACACACACACACGCACTTGCCGGATTGACGAGTGGGTGACGCGGCGGTGGACTGGGTGTGGCTATGGCACACGTTGGGGTTCGGCGTAGTGGCGCGTCTATGTCGAGCTTGCCACTCGCAAATTTAGATGATGCGTGAATGACAGCCCCCGCCAGCATTTGAAAGTTTAAGTGCTGGCGGGGGCTGCCATTCGTGCGTGGTCTGAATTGGCGAATGGCACCCGCTGGCCCCTGTCTTGACGATCGATCCCAGCCACACCGATCTCTGCTGATCGCTGGCTAGAATCGATCGCCGAAAAAAAGGCCACGCCAGGCGTTCAAATTTTTTTTTGGTCCTAAGTAGTGCCGTACCGTGCCTGGGGAGGCGGCCTGGACCGATTCGGCCTCTGGGAAACCCTCCCAGGCGTTTTGCGCTGAGACCGCCAGGTGGCCAACCAGGCGGGACAACCGACCAGGTGGCCCGCACCCCCCCCCGGGCGACGTCCAGTGCCCTGGGAGGCCCGGGGACCAGCCTAGCAGAGTTCTCAGATCAGCCTTGCTTGTTTTTTTTTTGTTCCCCAACCTCACATTCTCCACTTTGACTCGGCTGCAGGTTGCAACCAGTGACAAGAAACAGGAGGAATTGGATCTGGAGTTACTTTGCCCCGTTTGCTTTGACCCAGTAGTCCGTTCTGGCCCGTCAGGTTTTAACAGGTAATTTTTTTATTTTTATTTTTTCATTATTATTATTATTTTTTAATTAGTAAAGTAAATTGTTTACTTACATTTGTGTATGTAAAATCAAGCATTCCTTACATACCTTTCGGACAACTTCCCGCAACCCCCAAACCCTCCCCCCCATCCCCTTGAATAAGCCTTGCATTCTGGTTGTCAAATGCTACTTAGTTTGTTGAGCCAGTCAGACTGTAGGTAACATCATGCATGGTTTGATGATTAATTGATGAATCTGACGGTCACTTGGGCAAGCATATGGTTTGATCTTCTCCACGTTACAGTTTCTGCCAGCTTTCTGCAGTAGTGGTCGCTGATTGATTGATCGATTGATTGATGAGTTCTGATCGACTCTGACGGCTAGGAGGAGGCCTTCTGTTTTTCAGAGAAGGCCATTTTTACACCTCAAAGGAAAAAAGCTTGCATTGCAGATGAGTCAAAACGACCTCGTTTCCAGTGCCATATGCTGTTCGTAATGGGCGGCAAGCGAACTGAATGTTTTTGTGGAACAGAGAACAGGTTGCAGGCACACACTTTCACACAATGCCAACTACAAGTTTGGCAGTAGGCTAGGAGGAGGAGGACATTCGTAAGTTATGAGGGACTTAGTTCTGTGTCAGACTATCAATGCCATATGAGACAGATTACCTTTTTTTTTTTCGGGGGAGAGAAACACAAAGCCCGTTGGAGACCTGGAAGAAGGCCTTGTGCTGTCATCAGTGGATGACTGGAGTCGCTGTGCATGGATGTGTCTCTGCAGGTTGGTGTGTTCTGTGTCAAAGCTCTGTCTACCACCGTTCAAGAGCGAGTTTGTTCTTCTCTTTGGCAGAAATTATTTGGAAGCAAACATGTGCAAATAATGCAAAAGCAAATTGGTTTTGTCTTTTTCACATGGGCATGGTTGTAGAGCTGAATCCTGACAAATCCATGTTTTTTCATTTGTTTCGTTTTCGCTTTGTGGTGGGTCCCAGAAAAGTTTTGAAGCGCTGCAGCTTCCAATGCCGAAGCTGCCGGCGAGTTTATGATGCGTCTGCTGGTTATGTCGATCTCACGGTTCTCTCTGAAAGCCGGCAGTACACGGAAGATGAGTCCAGTGGAACGAGTATATTCCGGTAAAGCAGTCTTGGTAGTGTGGCCACTTTCTCTGCGCTCTCCTTCTCTCTCTCTCTCTCTCTCTCTCTCTCTCTCTCTCTCTCTCTCTCTCTCTCTCTCTCTCTCTCTCTCTCTCTCTCGTGCGCGTGCGCTCTTTCTCTCGCTCTGCTGCTTTCCCTTCACCTGTCCTTTCCTTCCTGAATTCGTTGTCAATTCTAGTCTGAGAAGTTGTTGCTACCCTAGGCAATAGCACTGGAAGCTTTTTAATGCATGGCTTATCCAGTGTTATGATCGCAGATGCCTTGGATGGGATAGACGGGCTTGTGTGTGTAATCAGCTCTTTTTTTTTCCTTTTTTTTTTCACAAAACCAGGTCCTTATGGCCCTGGCTCCATGACCATTCTGGGGAGCAGCAGTCCGGTTCCTATTCCCCCGGCAAGTCATATGACCAGAATTACGTCAATATACACACACACGCTCCTGCGAGGCCACTGCCTCTAAGAGCCTCATAAGGCCCCAATTTTGCAGCCCGTCAGCGCCCTAAGTGAAGGCAGGCTCGACGAGGCCCTCAGGGCCCTTTTCTGGCCACCACGCAACTCAGGGGAATCCAGGCAGTTGCGCAGCGCCAGTTGGTTGAGTGAACCCAGGCCCTGTGTGAATGAATGTGAAGCAGGCCCTGGGTTGAATACGGGTACGGGGCCAAATACTGGCCAAAGGGAGTTGGGCACAGACAACCACTTCAGGCCCAAGGCCTGCTTTCTACGTGCTGGGCCTGAGGCTATCGGGGCCTACTGGAAGCTTCCTGGGATTGGACGCAGGCAGGCCACTTCGATATAGGGAAGGGCCTGCCTCCTCATTCGGCATTCAGGTGCTGGCTGCATGCTGCGCAAGCGCTGCTGCGCTATTTGCTGGTTGGCGCCTACGCTCTCACGGACGAGCAGGGAAGGAGCACGCAGCCATAGCCGAGCTGCGCTGCTGTACGCTGGGTGAAGCACAGGGTGGTCCTTGGGTGCCAGTGGCATCTGTGAGTTGGGGAACGAGGTTGTGAGTGTAGCGCGAGACATAACTGGTGCTGGAAGCTTGCGGCATTGGTCACCATATGCTTGTACTTCGGGAATGCTGTTGATGTCATCTTTCGGCTTCATAGTATAGGCTAGATTGGATCTGCCACATGTAGTCTGGGCAATGATGGGACTATTTCAGCATTGTCAATTATGAACTCTTGGTGTGTTTCTTATTTGGTGAATCTCGTGATGCAATGCTGCTGTTGGTTCGAGGTCAAGACTATCTGGACTCATATGCATGATGCTGTTTGATTGCTGAAGTTCGCTATTGCTCATCTTCCTTGCACTCCCTTCCGTCTGGCCGAAGGGACCCTGCTTAGCATTGATTGCTCCACAAGCTCCTCTAAAGGGGCCTGTCAGATATGGTAGTATTGCAAGAAAACCAGGGAACATAGCTCAGAGAATTGACATTGGAGCATCTCATACATCCCTGTAGTCCTGTTGTCCAGTCTGTAGAGAGGCGCTTGTTCGTTGGGTAGTCTCAGAGTTGTGCCACTCCTTCCACCTGATTTGCAGAGCATGAATGTCCGCTATCTTCCCGTTGACTAGCCACACCATCCTGAACTTGGAAATCAGTTCTTGTTGCTTTTCCGGGTTCTGCTGAATTTGGAGTTTGACCTTCTTCCATTGGCACCGGCTATCCATCTCCATAAAATGTCTCATTGATGCCCAAACCTGCTCTGCCTGGTTGCTGGATTTGTCGATGGTTCTGTTGCACCTTTCCTTCCAGATGACCCAGAGAGTCACTTTCCTGATTATTCCAAACCATATGCGTTCGGGATTGTGGAGATGTGACCGGATGTTAGTCCATAGGAGAAGTTGAATCGGGTCTTCGGGTAGGGAAGACGGAAATAGAAGATCCCAGAGTGCCGAGGCTCTCGCCCATATGTCAGTAGCGAACTTGCATGTTATCAGCCTGTGAGTGAGATCCTCTCGTTCGTTATCTGAACACACCAGCGACTGTTCTGAGCTGTTCAGGTCGCTGTTTTTCCTTCGGATATGTAGCCATACGTTCACTGGGAAGGCATTGTAGGTAATCAGCCCTTGGAGGCTTCTAATTTTGACTGGCCGGATAGACTTGTATTTTCGCCAGGGGAATTCAGGGATTGGTTCCATTCTCTGTCCTAGCAATTTGGACCATCGTTCCTTGATTACTGGTTCCGGGTCCTTTGTTTTCAGTAGTATCCTGTATCCCATTTTGACTGTGTATTGTGTTATCTGAATGGGAGTCTTGCGGAATCTGTTGCTTCCTGAGAGCCATGCCCACTCCTCTGGGTCGAATTCCAGGTCCTGGATCGCTGTATCCATTTGGAATATTGTTTTCGGCCAGATTCCCATGACTCTTATCTTGCAAAGCGTGTAAGTATTGAGGGTTGTTTCTTGTGGGTCACTGTTGTGGATAGAGAGCGAGTTGGGATTGGTACGGTTTATGGGAAAGGAAGTGAATACTCCTGAGAGGTCAGAGCCCGGGAATCTGCGCTGAAACTGGCATGCTTTATCGGGTATGGACTCCTGAATCAGCACTCCCCACTCTCCTGATTTCCACGAAAACTTTTCTTATAAAAGTTATTTCCCACCATCAGGGATACTCTTCACGACCGTAGTCAGATTTTCATTCCGATTGTGGCAACCTTTTAGAAGACGTCTCAGTTGCTCTTCATCAATCCAGTCATTCTTCACTTCATCCCAGATGTGCCCTACCCTCCATACTCCGTGTCTGATCCGAGAAAGCCAGCGTTGGCCGTTTGCTAGGGACAGAGGTAGGTCCCCTGTGTCCCTTATGTATTTTTCACTTTGGATTTGGCCTTTTTCACTTTATTTGGCTGGATTCCTCTCTGAATTAGGATAAGGGCTGTCCAGTAGGAGTTGGTGGTTGGGCTTCGTTCTGCTGTGAGTTCGGTCGCCGTCTTCTCCTGCCAGTCTTCGGGGTCTAGTCCTTGTTCATCACCCAGAACAGGCCTGACATATTGGCAGGGGTTTGAATTGGGGCTCAGGCTCTGATGCTGTCTAGGGCTAGTTTGTGCCATGCCAATCATGGTTGGATTAGCAGTTTGACTATCCATTTTATCTGCGGGGCTTTTGTTTCTTGTTTGGGATCGATTATCCTTAGACCACCTTTAGAGGGCTTCCTCGTTATGTAGTGCCAAACTATTTTGGGGATGTACCTCGTTTTATTGGGATCGCCTGCCCACAGATAGGCTCTTGCTTTACTATTCAGCTCTTTGATATTAAGGTCCGGTATGGTCCAAATGGAGGCTATGTACCACATCATAGAGAAGATAGAGGTATTGAGTATCAAGGCTCTCCCCAGAAGTGAGGTGTACATGTCTCCCCAACGCCCTATTCTGTTGATTTGCTTCATTGGCAGATTTTGTGTCATTTGTGGGGCTGGACCCTCTTTGAATTATGATTGCCAGGTATCTCGTTGGTTCCTTAGGTTGCTCCCATGTCATGTCTGCTTCGGGGCCCTCCATCTGTGGCCCCTCTTCTTCTGACAACCACCACCCCACCGCCGTTTTCCAGTTGATCTTCATTTTTTATGCTAGCATGAATGCTTCCATTGCCCTTACTAATGCTTGCACTGACGAGTCTGATGCCCCGATCACAATGATCAGGACGGTGATATTGTCTGCAAACGTTATTACTATTGGAAACTGGATATGGTGAGGGTTGCCCGTGTTCAGCTCTCACAGTCGTTGGATTAATGGATCTTTGTGCAGAAAGGACGCAATTGCTTCCATCACGAACAGGAAAATCGGCGGGGCCAAGGGATCTCCGTGCCGGAAAGAGCAGGATATTGGGTATCGTTCAAAGAGGAGGCCATTAATTTGTACACAACCTGAGGCGTCGTTGTAGAGGATCCTTACCCATTTCCTAAAATTAGGACCGACTCCCATCTTTTCCGTGCTCGCGTTTAGGAAAGCCGAGTTGACTTGGTCATACGCCTTCTCAAAGTCAAAGAACATGATTGCTTTGTTAAGCCTTTTCTCCTTCACTTTCCGTGCGGCTTCATTTAGAGTGAGGACATTGTCCAAAATGTACCTACTTGGGATGAAGCCGGCTTGATCTATGTGGAAACATTTGTCTGTGAGATCAAGGATTCTGAGGGCAAGTGCTTTTGCTAGGATTTTGTAGGGAAGGGTGAGGAGGGAGATTGGTCTGTAGTTCCTGATATCTTCCCGGTCCCCTTTGTTTGTAGAGGAGAGTCACCACGCTGCTACTTAGTAACTCTCCCATACCTTCCTTTTCCCAACTGTCCTCGTAAAAGGATAGGAGGTCATTTTCCATTACTGGCCAGAATTGAGCCCAAATTTTTTTTGTGACCTCATCTAAGCCCGAGGATTTGTCATTGCTCATCCTTTGGACTGTGGCCCTTAATTCTTCTAAAGTGATCGGTTTGTCTAGCGTTGTCGCTTGTTCTGTTGTAATTGTTTTATCTAGATATTTAAGCATTTTGAATCTTGCTTCTTTTACTGTTGTAGAGGAGGGGGATTGGGGTTTTGTCTGATACAGCTCGTGGTAGAATCTTTTGGCAATTTGTAGCAGTCCCTCACAGTCTGTCCTTGTGAGTTGTTCATCTGATAGCTCTTTTAAACCTTCTATAGATCCAGCCCTGCTACTAACTTTTATTCTTCGAAAGAAATGCTTGCTCATTGATGATTCGTTTAACTCGTAATCCGTCATCCTTGCTCTCACTTTTAGGCCTTTCGATTCCCAAAGTCTCCAAAGTGCCATCTTTTCCCCAGCCTGTTCCAAGATGTTTGCGTATAAGGATGAGTAGGGGTTGCTTGAGAGGTAACTCTCCTGGAACCACTGCCATTTATCCTATCCCTCTAGGAATGCGCCTGTAGAATTGAGCCAACATTCCTATATCTTTTCCCTGAATGTCGGGCTTAGGAGTCAGGAGTTGTTTAGTTTGTGGAAACTGATACCTTTTGTGATGTATTGGTTGAAGCA